TCGGGATAATTTTTTGAGGACGTCTCAAACGAAACCGCCATTTCGGAATGGCCACGCCGCTCGGCACTTAGAATAGTAATCTCTGGCCACGGATCCTCAAAATTCTCGGGGGCGGCCAAGAAGGGGGTGTCCAAGAGGGGGGGGGTGCAAATCATGGCCGGCGGCACGTGCGCGGCCCAAGGGGGGGGCCAGGGACGCAATGAAATAAGAAAAGGCGCCATGAAATCTGAGGAAAAATCATGGCCCGCGCCATGAAATCCCCCCCCCCTAGTCATTACCCCCCTCTTTGCCGCCCCCGAAATTCATAACCCTCCTGTGGCCTCCAAAAGGGGAGGGGGAGAGCGGCGGGGCCGCTCAACCGCAGGAGCGGCCTTCGTGGGCCCTGGAAACGACCGGGGCCGTTTTTTTACTGGTTCGGTTTTGCCGTTTTCTTGCTGGTTCCGACGCCGTTTTTGTTGCCGGTTCCGTCACCGTTTTTTGACTGGTTCCGGCTCCGGCTCCAGTCCTGGAGCCGTTTATTTTTGCCGTTTCCGGTCGCTGTTTTTTTGCCGTTTCCATTTTCAAGGGACACTTTTTTGGAAACGGTGAAAAATCGGGGATCTTCTGACCCGGGTCAATCCAGACCTGGGTCAACAGGACACCAAAAACTGCAATACAGGAGAAAAAAAACTGCAACGCAGGTCTTCGCAAACCGGGGTTCGTCAATATGTGCGGCCGCCTCGCGGCCACGAGCGGCTCCCTAACCCGGGTCAGCCAGAGGGAGTCTTCGCAGAATCCTGCAGGATCTGGCGCCCTGGCTGACCCCCGTCTGCATTGACCCCCGTCTCAAAACTCCCGAAAAAAAAACGGCCCTGCCGTTTCCGGGGCCCACGGCACGTGCCGCAGACGCTGCACCTTGCCGCGCCGCGCCGAACACGGAGCAACCCTTTTTTCGGTAACTGCTGTGCAAGGTGGCGATGGCGGTGCCTACACCACTGATCTCGCCATCGCTCGGACGTCCATTCCCTGTGTTTTTTTTCGGTTTCGTGCGTGGTTTTTTCGCCAAATGATCAAGGATGCTCCCCGACGGTGATCGCCGAAGGAAAAATGCACACGTCCGAGCGATGCCCACTGATGAAATAGACGTGGCATGTTCTGCCCAGCCGATGTACTAAGGCAACACGATGCTTGAATTAAGTCGGGCGTGCCCCCCTGCAGGGGGATTTTGAGCGAAACAGAAAACATACTGAAGACATACCCCTCGAATGGGCAACAATAGTCAAAAAATCGTCCCAAGACTATGATTTGACTATTTTTGGATAGAGGGACAAGCTCGACTTAAGTCTAGCCGATCTACTACTGCAACACGATGCTTGAACAGAACATCGTACTGGGGCCCCGCGGCCTACCGGGCCCCTTTGACGTCTCCTCTCCTGTCGCCTGAGCAGCGCCACTGGCAACGTGCCCCGGCGCCCAACGGGAAGGCGCTGCAGTTTGGCCGAACCCTCGCCTTTCGGAGTTGCCGAACCGTTTGGCGCGTAGAATAAATCTCGGACCAGAGATTTCGAAAGTGAGGTTGTCGCTTGAGACTTCCTCCGAAAAGCGATCTCGGGTGGATTTCGAAACCATCGGAGGAGGGGGAGGAGGAGGAGGGGGAGGAGGAGGAGGAGGAGGAGGAGGAGGAGGAAGAGAAGGAGGTGAAGGAGGAGGAGGAGGAGGAGGAGGAGGAAGAGGAGGAGGAGGAGGAGGAGGAGGAGGAATTCGAAAGGGCGGCTCCGCCCGAGACTTGCGCAACACGATGCTTGGACAGAACATCGTACTGGGGCCCCACGGCCTGCCGGGCCCTTTGGACGTCTTCCCGGTTGATCCCTAAGGGGGGTCCAGCGACAAGGGGATGGTGCCATAGATCTGGTGCAATAGTCTTGTGGGGTTGCCATAGATTTGGGGCATTGACAGTACATTCGGCTACACGCAAGAGTGACCCTGGGTAGGGGTGACCTTTGGTGCGCGGCTTTGGGGGGGCCGCGGGGGGACCGAACTCAGGCGCGCAAGACGCTGCTATCGCATCGCAAGCGGCGATCGGGGGGACCCCATTGTGCCTGCACCAAAGGTCACTCCGGCGAAAGGTCACTCTTACGTGTAGTCGATACATTCTGGGGCGCAAAGGTATCGCTGGATTTTCGCGTGCAACGCAGTCTTTGCAATACAATGCAATACAGTTCTCGAGCGCAATACATGTGCAGTACAATTGCCGCAGCTCCACCCCCTTTCAGCTGGACCCCATTCTGGGTCAACCAGAGTCTCCTCTCCTGTCGCGGGCGCAACGCCACCGACGACGCTGTGCCGGGGCCCCGTCGCCCAGCGGGAGGCGCTGCCGTTTGGCCGAACCCTCGCGACGGCGAAGTGCGAGTCGGCATTCCCTGAGGCGCGGGCGGGTCATGAGGTCTGCGTCGGGCGCCGCGGAAGGTTCCAGAGCGCTCTGAAATCCCGGAACCCTCTGGCAGCGATCCCAGGACGAGGACGAGCGCGCCAACGACGACGAGGCGCGGGGGACGAGGAGGAGGGGGAGGAGGAGGAGGAGGAGGAGGAGGAGGAGGAGGAGGAGGAGGACGCCCTGGCGGCACCCTCGCCCTGGGCCCGCCTGAGCCCCCCCCCCTGGCGCCCTGGCGTGCGGCGCGGGCCCAGGGGCGGTGTTGGAGGCGCCAGTCAGGGTGGTCCAGCGCCGACCCAAAGGGGGCGGGCCTCCTCGGAAGGCCCAGGCGTTCCCCCGGTCTTCTGGGAAGTTTTCTGAGCCTTGCCCGAAGATGCAGAGCACTTCTCAGAAGGCCCGAGGGCCTCTGAGGAGCCCCGCCGCCTTCTTCAGAAGGCCTGAGGGCTTCTGAGAAGCCCCGCCGCCTTCTGAGTGGGCCTTCTCATTCTCGCTTCGCCCCCTCGCTCGCCGCCGAAGCAATCATGCGCGAGCCCCCGACAGCTGTGCAGGACGACGCCACGTCATGATACCATTGGGCGTGGATGCGCTCTGGGAATCCTGGAGCCCTTGGCGGCCCTCGGCCATCCCCACATCCCCACCCGTGTCTGGACGCCAAGGGCAGAAAGAAAGCCTCAAAATCTTGGCACCACCACCACCACCACCACCACCACCACCACCACCACCACCACCGACGACGACGACGACGACGACGACGACGACGACGACGACGACGACGACGACGACGACGACGACGACAAAAAAGAAAAAGAAGCCGCGCACTGACGGCGCATCGGCAAAGCAGAAAACTTGAAGACGCAACTGCACGATTACATGCAAGGAAAACTGAAAAAAAACAAATGGGCCCGCAACCAATAACCAAGAACCTGGGAACCCGGAACCGGGAACCCAGCCGGCTACCAAAATCGGTTGGACTGTCGCCAAAACTTTCAATTTCCGCTAGGACCCCTCCAGTACAAGTACTGATTGCGGAATCATGAGACGCAGCATTATCGTTGCTTCTCGCCCCTCTGATTGTAGGATTGGTCAACGTCGAATCGGGAACTCCGATCGAATCAAAATGTGCGCCAGATCGGGCTGCATCAGCGCAAAGTCGAAAACGAGACGGATCGGCTGCGCCAGGATCAACCACAATGCCAAGCAAGCATCTGGCCGCGTCGGATCGTCAATACATCGTGATCTAATCGAATCGGGCCCGGCCAGAATCGACATTGCTTCGGATCGATCGGATCGAGATGGACCCTGGACTGTTTCTGTGCCGTTTCAGGGAGAAAGTAGCACCGCTCTGCACAAACAGGAACTAGACAAGCGCGCTCCACGACTCGCGCAGCAACTGCCCGCAAATGGCCTGGATTCGCCGCGGGGGTGTTACGATCTTTTGCGTCGAGGCGAGCATGTGTTTTTTTCTGACGCTTGCGAGCCGGCACTTTGCCGCGTAGCGGAAAACGCGCTCGGTGAACAACTCCGAGGAGCCGCGCCGGCGCGCGCGGCACGCCAAGGCCAGCGCCGGAGGCGCCGCCGGTGGGGCCCAGCGCCGATCCGGGAGGTCCGCGCGGACCTCCGGACGTCTATTGACGAACGAACAACACACACCCACACCCATGGGGGGGTCGTTGGGAGGAGGACTGGCTATGGGTATGGGTGCGGGTTGTCGGACCCTGGGGAACGCTCCCGCTCGAACGGGGGCCCCCATCCGACACCACGCACCCATGGCCCTCTCCGACCCCCCTATGTGGGTATGGGTGGGTGTTGCTGGTTCGTCATCTTTGCCTGTGCCGTCCACCATCCGAAGACGAAGGGGGCAGAGAACCGGGATGAAAAGGGGCCAGGAGGACGAGAGCGAGCTGTGATCGTGCCGACCTCTCGGCTGATGGACAAAAAGTCCCGCACCACCCGCGCGACCAGGAAGCCAGCGCAAACTTCAGCGAGCCCCTCTGCCCCCGATTTAGTGTTGGTTGGAATCGCCAGCGGGTCGCAGGATTTCGTCCCGCCGGCAGATCTAAGAAACGCGGCGCAGTCCGCCGAGGAGCATCGGGGGGGTTTCACGAAAATCAGCATTGAAGGTGGAGAATGTTGCTCCTCTCGTCGACGCCTAATTTGGTTTCTGCATCATACGTCGAGCCTTCGGCGGCGAGGCGCAGCTGCTGGAAAACACTCCGAGGCGAGAAAACTGCAGGGCAACCACGGAAACGCCCGAAAACCTCCTGGCCGATCCCCGAAGGGAGGGAAGGGAGGAAGGGAAGCAGGGAGGCGCAGCATGTTGTCCATCCCCAGCTCCTCCTCGAGCCTGCCCCGCGACGACGACGACGACGACGACGACGACGACGACGACGACGACGACGACGGTGGACGACGGCAACGACAACGACGACGATGACGGTTGGCAGTTGACGGTGGACGGTTGACGGTTGACGAAGACGACGACGACGACGACGACGACGACGACGACGACGACGACGACGAGGGAGGCATGGCGGAGCACGCCGTTGTCCATCAGCCGCTCCTCCTCGGGCCTCCCCGTCCTCCCCCCGAGGCCTCCGCCGCGCCCGCCCCGCCGACCGCGGAGCGGCGCCGATCGCGCTCCCGCAGGGCAGCCTCGACCGCGCCCAGCGCGCGCAAATGGGCCGCGCCCAGCGCGCGCAGCGCCGGCCCCTGCAGCGCGCCAGACCGAGCTGGGCTCCAGACCTCGAGGAGCACGAGGGGAACGGGGAAGTAGGAGGGGAGGGAGAGGAGGAGGAGGAGGAGGAGGAGGAGGAGGAGGAGGAGGAGGAGGACGAGGAGGACGAGGAGGAGGAAGAGGGGGAGGAGGAAGAGGAGGAGGAAGAAGAGGAAGAGGAGAGGGAGGAGTGCACGAGGCCAAGGAAGGCAAAGGATTAGGCCGACCCGACCCTAATTCAATACCTGGCAACTCCCCACGTCCTCCCGAGAGAGCATCAAAGCTACCCAAGAAGCAGGCTCAGGCGATGATCCCGCCTCTTGAGCTGCTTCAAACGAGCACGCATCCTGCCTTGAAGCCGCAGAGCCCCCCTCGGAGGCGACAGGTTGGATGCGTACCGCAAATCATGATAGGCCTGAAAGATGAGATCAAGGAAAACCGCACAGGCAGAAAGTTCTAGCTGAGAGGAGGCGGCCCAGGGGGAGATGGAAGCACGCTGCGGCCCCGAGAGCGAGGAAAATAAAGCGGGAAGATGCAGGACGGCACTGGCACTAGACAGAACAACAGGGCACTCAAGAGAAAGAAGAAACATGTCGGCCCCAGGCGCCGAACAGAAAACGCAGCCACAGGTGGGCCCACGGAGCCTGGCAGAACAGCACCAGCCGTTCGAGAACGTTTTCAAAACAGAAACGATAACGCAAGAGGGAACAAGCTTTTCTAACCTTCTAAGCGCCATCAGTGCTAGGTCAAGATCACAACACCTCGCGGATACCCCCAGCTTCTTCATCCGATACAGGAGCGGGGCCCGATTTCCTTCGGGGGCAAGAGGATATGGCCATTTCGTCGTAGCCGCTTGGATCCGAGGAGTTCCAGGGACAGGTACTTTCGGTACGGCGCACAACTGATCATAGTTAGCAATAAGGGCGTGCATGGACGACTGTAACCACAGGGGATCCCTGTCCCACAGTATTCTGCACTCGTCGCTGGCAGCCATTGCCTGGATCCGCGTCTTCGCACGGTAAAACTCGATCGAATTGCAGACGAAACGGTAAAGAGAGGCCCTCGAAACCATATCCAGTCTTCTCATTTGGCACGGCAGCCCCAGCGCCTTTAAATTCTCGAGCACGGCGGGGCTAAGAGCATTCCGCGGGCCGCACGCCAACGCTTGCCCAGCTGCGCGGACAGCCTCGTACACAGACTTGGGAGGTGAGAAGAATTGCAACACGCACGACAAACAGCTGAAATCATTCTGATTGAATAGTGCGATACTCTTCACCAGACCCAACCCAAGAGATTTAGTGTCAAGAGCTTGCCCAAGACATTTCCTGGCAGGAGCGCCCCAAGAAAGAATAGACCCACCACGCCCAAGAAAGATACCCAAGTACTTTGCCATATGCTGCACCTGGAAGGAGGGGGGTATACCAGCAACAATAAGGAGGTTGCGATATTCATGTTCAGGGAGGGCGGCGAGAGGGACGATGATAGATTTCGCGACGTCGAGCTCGAGACCAGCAGCCTGGGCAGCACAATCAAAAACAGGAAGTGCCAAGGCCCGAGCTCGATACACGTCCTGTGAGACAAGCCCAACATCGTCAGCACAGGCACCCAGCACCGATGGCACGCGCCGAAGGCACTGCTCATGCATCCTTAAGATCGGATCGATGCACAGTACGAAGAGCGAGGAGGAGAGCGGGCACCCTTGCTTGATCCCACGCTTGACCCACCATCCAGAGTCTTGCACCCCACAGAAGGAGACAGAAACCCACACTTGCTGATAAAGAGCGGCAGCCGCCCTGCGGATTTTCTTCGGGAACTTCATGGTTTTGAGGACGAACATGATCATAGAGTGGAGGAGGGTAGGAAAGACAGCCTTGATATCAAACGTAACGTAACCCGTCGCTTGAAGGCCGTCCTGAACAAACCATTCCACGGCCCGGGATTCCAGCGCAACAATGTTGTTGGTGAAATTGCGCCCAGGGATAAAACCGCGTTGGAAGTCGATACAACATTCCTGGAGAACACGCACGACAGGCGTATTAATAGCACGGCTGATCAACTTGTTATCCGAATTGCCAAGCGTAATAGGCCTGGTCTGCTCAGGTGGACGGAAGACAGCATCCACAGCATCGCTAGGGGCATCACCCTTGGGCAGGAAGACAGCGATGCCATACTTAAATTCATCAAGAAGCCGCCCACAAGCGAGAAGTTCCTGGTACACTTCAAAGAGAGGTTCCATCGTGCAAATACCGCCCCGAAACCAGGCACTGCACGGAATCCCGTCGGGCCCAGGACACGAGTCTCGAGCATATTGAGCACGCAGACAAAACTCATCGAACTCAAGCTCCCAGAACATGAGAGGAGGCACCTGCGCGATGAAGGGTACGAGTTCCTGCCGTCTGGCATCTTCACCTTCGACGAAGGCGCGCACCTGCCCCCAGTGCGCCGCCAGCAACTTAGCCGCAACACTAGGTTCAGAAACCTGGAGACCCGTCGGGTCGGAAATCGCAGAGAGGGAGATCCTTCTCCTCCTTCGGCCCCAAACACAGAGATACGACGTGAGTCGGTTTCGAACCGCATGCTTCTGAACCATTGGCCTGTCGGATTCCTCATTCTCCTGAATCTGCCCCTGGATCTGCTCAGCCTTGAGTTCGCTTAAAAATCAGTGAAATCCACGAAAGTCAATCCAAAGTCCAGGTTCCCAACAAATGAACTGCTGCAGGCCCGTAAAAACTCCAGATATTTCCGAAGAAAAAGGAGTTGCCCGCGCCGAAGGCTACGTAGCGCCGCGAGAGCCCAATGCACCTTCTCTGCAACAGACAGAGGTCCACCAGGACGCGAGCATTCAATAACACGTTTCGCAGCCGCCTCGATAATTGCTTTTGTCTCACCAAGAGCAAGGATAGGGTCAGGATCCCGAGGGCCAGCAGAATCAGCAATTTCATCCAAAAACTCACGGTGCTTGGGATGCCTAGGCACCCATGACGGGACACGAAACCCACTGGGCGGCGAAACGTTAAGCCGAAGAAGCACAGGTGCGTGATCGGAGAGTGGCCACTCTCCCTGTGAGGCCCATGGTACATGGCTGAGCGGCCTAAAGCCGAGCAGCACGCTGCTGGGGATGTTGCAATAAATCCGATCAAGCCGCGCCAGAGATGAAATAGCGGGCCTGGGACCGCTCGCATCCATCACACGATGGGTGAAGTGGTGCTGGTCTACCTCGCACAGGTCGGGAAAGAGATCGGAGAAGTATGCCCCACGGCTGTTGTTACTATATCGAATATGCCCATCAGAAGAAAACGAACCTTCCCCGTCAGCAGGAATATTGAAGTCGCCACAAAGGAACCCCGTGCCCACGTCAGCCCCCAACATGGATCTTCGAATCAACCGAAGTTATCCTTTTTGCTGCAAAACCGACGCCCCAGGATCGATGTGTGTTACATATCTGTAGAGTACCATGTATGCCGTGAAGAGAAACGAGATGCACCCGACCAGGCACGAGAGTATGATGGCGAAGAGCAAGAAACTGCCCACGGAGCCGAGGGTGCAAAAGAATGAGACTGCCACCAGCAGAGCGATCGCAAAAGAAGGTACCTTTTCCGCTGACACCTTGGAACTCTTCCAGGATTAAGTCTAAGTCGTGATAGGCCCCGCGAGCCTCCTGGATGCAGACGACATCGTGGGCTTGACAAAGCCGGTACAACTGTTGGATTTTCTGCTTGAGTTTGGCGTGACTGGTGGATAAGCACCCGAACGACGACCTGGCGTTCCAAGTGACAATGGAGAAGTCGGAACTCGGATAAAACGGCGTGCAGGAGCAGCACGGAGGCAAGCCCTCCGATGAAGTCGAAGACGAGCACGACGAGCTCGAAGAGGAGGAGGACGCAGAAGACGAGACAGAGGAATAACTCGAAATAGATGCAGACCGACGCCGCTGCCCACGTTGCGCGCGAAGTGCGGCAGGAGCAAGACGGCACCCACTCGGTCGATCACCATGGACGGGCGTGATAGGCGAGGACATTTCCTATTCGATGGCACCTTTCATGATAGCGGTGACCTGGTCCTTCTCCATCTTCAAGGACTGGAACGCGTCGAAGTCGGGGTTGAGACTGGCGGAGGTGTCGGGATTCTCGACGAGCGAACACAGGACTGTGACTTCCTCGTTCTTGGTGAAGAACAGGATGCCCTTGTGCCCGTTGACTGCGATCGAGATGTTCTGTCCAATCCCCTTAGCGGCAAAATGCTGCGAGACCCCTTGCCATACACGCCCAAGAATGATATTGCGACGCCGAACATCAGGGGTAGCGTCACGACGGGCACGGAGAGAAATGTGACCCTGGGGAAAGACGAACCGAAGGCCATGCGTTTTGACATGCTCGAGAAACGCCTTCGCGTCGGTGTCGCTCTCGAACTTCACACAGAAGGCTTTGTTGAGATTGTGTGCGATGATCTGGGAAGGGGGGCGTGATGTGCGAAGGCAGATGAAGGATGCCTGTGCCCTGCATGTATTTCGTCATCACACGAGCAAGCATCGGCGCTTTGAACCCACCAATCCATATCTTGGTGGGGTCGGCCCCACGTCCCACGCTTCCCGACCCAGTGAAACTCGTAGCAGGAGGCGACCCAGCAGATCTACTCCGCCATCGAGGGTGAGAGGCGATAGATGGTGAGCCAGAGCGAGTGCTAGCGACATGAGAATGGGACTGAGAGCCTAAGATCTTCGCCTCCAGTCGAGCGAAAAGTGCCGTTTCTAGAGCGGTATGCAGACCCGATTTCACCTGCTCTTCTAGAGTATTCATGCGCTCAGTGAGGTGGGCGATGTTCTCTTCACTCTTCGATACCGACGACTGCAGACCGAGGATGTCGTCCTTCGTGACCATGTTCTGTTCCATGCGCCCAAGAATCGCCATAAGATCAGCACCCCCATCAGGCCCGCGAGGACGAACCTGTCGCTGAAACTCGGTGGCGTCCTCAATCGCGTCGCCACTGGAAGGCGACACACCAGCGGAGACGGCAGAGGCAGAAGACATGG